CCCGCCCCGTGAACCCTTCCAGCCAACCCTTCCTTGTCGCCGACACCCGGCGAGATCGGTCCTCCCGAAAAGGCATCGTGTTCACTTACTACACTCACGGATTGCAACTCAAGTGAAGAAAGGTCGCCGTCCGAGACAAAACTCAGCTAAGGAAACAGACGCGGTAGTTCAGCTTCATGTTAGGACGTGCACCTGCTGGAGCGAGTCCTGAGGAGGGCCACAAGAACAAGAAACCAGGAGCACCTCTCCCGGGAAGACAGGCTAGGAGAGCTGGGGTTGTTCGGCCTGAAGAAGAGAAGGTTCCAGGGAGACCTTAAAGCACCTTCCAACGCCTTACAGTGGCCCACAAGAAAGATAGAGAAGGGTTTTTTACAAGGCCATGTAGTGATTCCCATATTCCCATTACAAGGAGTAATGGCTTTAAACTGAATCAGAATGGGTTTAGAATAGGAAGAAATTCTTTCCTGTGAGGTTGATGAGACACTGGCACAGGTTGCTCAGAGAGGTTGTGGATGCCGCATCCCTGGAGGGTTTGGTGGGGCTTTGAGCAACCTGGTCTAGTGGAAGGTGTTTCTGCCCATGGCAACTAGATGATCTTTAAGGTCCCTTCCAACACAAACCATTTTATGATACTAGGTAGAGTATAAGTACTGTGACACAAACCTGCCCACATCTGCATTTCTGTCATTTTACTGCTTTCATGCTTAAATATACTGATCCTCATCATAGGCTTTTCCATCTACTTCAATTGAAAAAAAAAAAAAAAAAAAAAAGATGTTTTTCTTTTCACATCCTGGACAGAGTTTGATTAAAAAACAAAGCAAAAACAAAACAAGCAAAGAAACAACCAACCAAGAAAACCCCCTCCAAAATAAAACAAAGGAACAAACCATAAAAAAAAATCAGACAAACCAGCACAGAATAGACATTTACTAAGTAACAGCCTGTGTCAGTGTGATATTCATGACAGTTTAAGACTGTCTCAACACAGCTGTGTCTGATGCACCAAGCAGTGGAAGATTTTACATGCATCAGCTGCAGATGAACAGAGGAAGTCCCACTCCCCAGGGAGAAATCACTGTCTGGCAACAGCCTAAGCCCTGTGTTCGGTGTGACAGCCCAAAAGAGGAGTTTTGAACTATTTGTAGCCAAAATCTCCAGCTATCTTTTCTTCAGGAGCAAGAAAAAAGAAAGAAAAAAAAAAGAAAAAGGAGGAGATGCACCTCTTTACATGCATGCACACTCCTTGAGCACCGGTGCCCTCTTGCAGAATGTTGTCAAGGAGATGAAGACACATCAATGGAAATGACCTAGAGGATGATACTTTACCTTTGCTCAAGGAGGGTGGCATAGTGTGACTATGTCAAGCAGTGCTCCCTGAAGACACAGCTGGGAAGGGCTCAGTGTCATTCATTACGAGCAGCATCCCAGACACAGCTATCAGCTGCCCCTCCTGACAGTCACCCATACATTTAGAGTTCCAATGGCCATCAGCAGAGCTGCTGGGAGGGATTGGAGCTCATATAGTTTCCAGCACTCACCAAAGAACTGCTCTAAAGAATGTGGGTAGCTGAAAGGCATCTACACAGCCAGAGCTACTGAAATCTTGAGGGAATTATGCTCTGGAGAAGAGGACATCCAACGCTTGGTGGCCTTCATGGTCTTCGTTCTCCCTGGAGATATTCTACATTGTATGACAGCGGCTTCAGAATGCATCATTTAGCATTATTAATAATGGATGACATAAGCCCTATAAAGGTTAAATAATGTTTACATCCAGAGCATCCTCCTGCTGACCTTAACAAACTGCATTTTCCCATTTGATTTCTCTGTGAACAGCACTGTATTTGGAGACATTTGTTCTCTCTATTGCTCTCAGAGATGGGAAACATGCCTGTGGGATGTTAGTGCTTTGAGAAGGTTTTGGAAAGGCCCTGAAACCTCTCAAAGGTTTCAAATCTTTCCAGAGTAAACAAGCAGAGTGTGCTCTGGGCCAGAAAAAAGAGCTGGTCCCTTTGGCCTCACTTAGCCTGACCTATTGGCCATGGCTCTGGGAGCACCAGGGTGAGACTTGGCTATGACTCTGGAAGGTGATTCCTGTTCTGGGCTCTGGGGATGAAAATCTGTTTCAGGCTCATTTACTGTCCCCATGACTGACAAGAGGAATAGTTAGATTGCTGGAATACTTTCTGCCTTGGACAGGAGAATGTGCACAAAGGCTACTTTGGCATAATAAACTCCTATTTTAAGCTTTTTCATATCCTCTGTGTCGGGTAGCACAATCCCTTTACGTTCTAGCTACATTTATGATCACTTGCTTCTCACAGACAAGGCATTTAAAACCATGTAGCACATCTTGGTATAAAGTCTCTTTTTGCTGTCAAGCCAAGCTCCCAAACCTGTTACATCCTCTCTGCTCCACCATGGACAGTGCTTTGTACAGAAGACCTGGAGAATTAGATGAAGCATGTAAGACTCCTTGAAATTCTGCCATATGCGATGTCCTTTCTCAGAGATACCCTGGTAGAGACCTTCACACTGCTGTCACCAGGCCCTGTTCATCAACACATTCTCCTCGTTGTCCTGCAGGAGGAACCTCTGACCACACACAGCTTTCAATGTTAAAGCTAACAGCTAAAGGATGTTTCTAAGCAGGCTGAGGTCAACAGTGGAAACAACCTTACAGGTGCGTGTTTTGCTGTTGTTCAAGGCCAAACAGAAGCTCATGGGGTGAGGAAAGGAAATTAAGTAAGCAAACTCAATTTTGAACATCAATATGGCTTTAATCATTCCCTTTCATACAGCTTCAAGGCATGCTACACTCAACACTTTTGAAAACAGTAAATACAGGTACAACATTCCAGCCAAATTAACTTTTCTAACCAGCTATTTGCTGACAGTTGTGCACTGTAAGCTTTGCTTCTCTCTTTTAGGGGAAGACTTCACACTGCAGGCATTTTAACCTTATCATACATAACCTCATATGCAGAAAAGTATTTGCAACAACTAAAGTATAAATAGCATTCAGCATACAAATATATACACATAAACCTTCATTTCTACAATTAGCAACAGAACATACGTATTTACACAAGTCCGTATGTGAATTGCACTCTTGCCTTTCAAATTACTTTAAAATACCTTAATAGATACACAATAAAAAGAATTTAGTTTTATTTTATAGCAACATGGCACAGAACTTAAGTAGCAAAGTTTCTAGGTTCTGGGCTTTATGAATATGGAAAAGTATTTTCCTGTTCCTATATCGACAATGTAGTTCTGCTGTTTAAGCTCTGTCTGAAAAAGCTCTGTGGTACCATTATCCTGACAGAAAAATTCTTCCTCCTCTGAATGTGCCCTTTCCCTCTCATACAGAAGGCACAGCACAACTGTCCTCAAGGAGCTACAGAGCAGAGTCTCATTCTCAGATCATGCCAGGTCATCCTTGTGGTATTGCTGTGTATCCTAATGGTGCATTGTCATGTTCTTATTGAAAATCCCATTTATTAAAATATATGTCAACTCCCATAAATTTTCCAGGATGCCCTCATGCTGATACTGGTCATTACATTATTTATGCTAATGAGAGGAATCAATTGGTGGTTTTAAGTTTTGACATCACACATTGACTTTACACTCTCAAATAAAAGGACACCTGGGGCTCATTCTCCTCGTGCATCAGAGGAGGTGCATGAGGTGAATCAATGTGTCCCTCCTGAGTATGGGGAAAAAAGGCAGATGAACATATGGATAACTACAGAGCTCCAGCAGAAGTCTCTAATTTCTTTATAGCTCTGTCTCTAGTTCACTACCATGAAGGTAAACACAAGAAAACTTAAATGTTACCACAATACTCATCTGGAATAAGTCGTGCAATTTTGGGGAGGAAAAAAAAGATTCATTTATACCAGATGAAAAGAGTTACTTTTGGAAATTCAGAAGAATGGAAAGCCTATCTTAAAAGTGGAGACTAAAGGACTGGACTTGTTTATCTTGGCAAACAAAGGCTGGGGACAAGGTTCTCTTTGATCTGTAAAATGGGGGCAAGATGAGAAGAAGATCTCCTTAAACAACTAAGCATCAAAGAGGCGAAAGAAGTGGGGAAACTCATGTGGTCCCACTTACATGACTGTGAGAAATAATAATTTTGTGATGCTTCTGCCTCACTTGAGGAAGGGAGGTTGCAGAATAGGTTCCCACAGGTCTATGCAGACTGGATGGGGAAGGACGGGAGCTGCTGAAGGGGACTGCACATCAGCGAGTTTGCAGGAGCAAGGGATGGACTCTGTGAGTCAGGAAAGCCTTTCAAATCTGGTAATGGATAACTGCCTAAGTACAGGAAAAGGTGTTTAACATGGCCTGCCCTCCTTGCAGACAGCAAAAGGAAAGAGATCTGAAAGACAAATGGCTCCCTAAAATGACTTTTTAACTTCTGGTATTTTAACATTGGCCAGTCATATGCTGGAGACTCTCTTCCTAACCATAGTCCTTGCAGCATTTTGAGGAAGAACTTTTCCTTTTATTAGTGACTGCCCAGGCACTTGGAAATGGCAATTTCCATTCACAGAGTCATTCTCAGTTTTGCACAAGTCTGTGACAGTGGCTCGGAAGCTGGAAGATTTTGAATCTAGAGAAGCCTGACTAACAGCAACACTGCCTGCACTCTTAGAGGAGTACGTGTAAACCATTTTGAGAAAGGCAGATTTTGTGTTTGTTTCTTGCTTGTAAATGATGATATAGCATTTTGGTAGAAAAGTGCAGCAGAGGATTCCATAATTAGATATTAAAACAACGATGATTTCCACTGCTGGCAAGTATTTGCCAAATGTGGTTGCGTAGACAGGGATAAATACAATCCATGCTATAAAGTAAATTAGCATGCCAAAAGTGATGAATTTAGCTTCATTGTAATTCTCTGGCAATTTCCTACCTTTAAAGGCAAATATGAAGCAAATAAATGCTAGGGCAGCGATGTAGCCCAACATAATCCCAAAAGCTACAATAGATCCCTCATTGCATTCCAGAATTATTGCTCTCGGGATTGAGAAATTTTGATTTACAAAAGGTGTTCTAAATATAAGCCAGAAGGTGCAAATAATAACTTGAATTCCAGTGCAAGTGGCCACAGTGGGAATAGGTTTATACATGCATTTCAGGAAATTTTGAAGCTTGGGATCAAAGCTAAAAGCTAGTAAAATTTTTAGTGACTTTATTAAAATACATGAAATGCAGAGTGTAAAACTTATACCAAAGACTGCTTGCCTAGTTTTACATTTGAATTCTGTGGGTATATCTATGAAGAAGACAGTGCTTAAAAAAATTAAGAAGTGGCTGAAGAGAATAATATAGCAGACAGTCAGACCACCAGATGCCTTTACTACTGGTGTGTCCAAGTTTTTGGTAAATATTACACAAATGGACAAAACCAACACAACCCCAAAAGCAGAGAGGAGGAGGAGGAAGATAGCAAACCAGTCAGTCCAGGCAAGGAAATAGATTGTCTTCCTGTAGCACGTGCTGCTGTTGACGGGAGCCCAGTAGGTTTTGTTGTTACATCGGTAGCAGTAATCCATATCTGGAAGCAGAAAAAAGGGAAGATATCTTAGAACCCTGAAGTTAATAGACTGCAAAGTGGATTGTAGGGATTTGAGACGCAGGAGCAATGTGGGAAAGGATGCTGAAGGGAAAGGATGGGTCTGACTGGCTCCGAGTGCGGCTGTCGCTGCCCAGGGGGAGGAGCTGCAGGGCTGCGGTGGCACAAAGAGCTGAGGACAAATGCCCGGAGCTCCCTGCCAGCTGGGGGCAAGCCTTGCCTGCAGCCAGGGGCGAGCAGGGAAAACGACCAGTGAAATGTGACCAGTGGAGCTTTAATTCAAACCTGAACAACTCGAGAGGAATCAGTTCTCTTGCAAAAATTTGAATTGCTTTTCTTTCATTTGTCTATTTTAACAACAAAACACCGTAATATTCTCTTTACAGATAGCTTTTAAAACACAACAGCAAAAACAAACATTGCTTTAGATAAGGATTTGAAAGGTACTTTTGCTTTGCAATTCCTATTTTCTGATATGGAGAAATTTCACAATTAATTGAATAAGCAGATAAATTTTACTTTTCTTCTGCTCTCAGGATGAAATAAGATAAAAAGTACATGCTACCTTAATTTTCTTAATTCCATCTTTCTTCCCCATATTTAATTTTCACCTTTAAAAGATTTTGCTTAAACCAGCAGTAAAATATACATTAGATTTGATACAAAAATGTACTGTACAGTATATTTTCACCTTTAAAAGATTTTGCTTAAACCAGTGGTAGAGTATACATTAGGTTTGATACAAAAATATATTATACAAAATTATACTGTTATATCAAATAACACAGTACTCTGTGGTAAGACACAAAATGTGGTGCTAGGTAAATTACATAACCCTTGACCTTCATAGATTCATAGGCTTCCAATCCTTTGGGTTGGAAGGGACTTTCAAAGACCGTCTAGTTCCAATTCCTGCACCAGGGGCAGGGACACCTTCCACCACACCAGGTTGCTCAGAGCTCTGTCCAACCTGGCCTTCAACACTTCCAAGAATGGGGCAACCACCACAACTTCTCTGGGCAACCAGTGCCTCACCACCCTCAAAGTCAAGAAATTGCTCCTGACTGGACTGAATGTACTAAGGAAAGACAGGGAGGAAAGACTCCATTTAATGAGAGTAAATCTCACTGATGAATCAGCCAGAATTTCCATCCTAGCAAAGGATAATGCTAGTCAGCTGGACAATCTAATTACTTTAAACTTGGCCTTTACAAAAGCATTTATACCAAGTTTTACAGGAAAGTGATCATAAATAAATATTTAAATCCCATTCAAAAATTTAACCCATGGTTCTCAAGGCACATTATATCCAAGCAAAACAATTACATTGATATTGAAATAAACCTTTATTTGGATACTAATTTTTTACCTGTTTGGTTGCTGTAATGGTTTTCTGGGCAGTAAATACACTCATAGCAGCATGTGTGTGGACTTTCTGTAACCTTTTTCACCTGGCCTGGACTGCAGGGCTGGGAGCATGTTGACTGAACCTTCTGCAGTGTGCAGAGGGAAAAAAAAAAAGAGATCATCATCTTAGGTACAGCTAATTAGCAGGGAACATTAATAGAAACCTCCAGGATTTTTGCAATTTTTTAAAATCATACATATTTTAAGGAAATCTGAAAATCTGAAAATTATGTTGAAAAACAGACATTGTAGGGTCCATGTTTGTTGTATTTTCTCCACACAGTACATGAGTAATTGAATGGGGTGTTATTTACCCGATAATTTTATTTTTGGGCCCTGAATGCTAATTTCTAGATTTGTGTACACCTTTAAAATCAAGATCAAAGTCTTTCTTTCAGCTTTGAACTTGCATTTAGACTACAGAGGATCATCTTCAAAGAATGCACAGAAGCATCTGAAGGGGAATTTGAACTAACTGCTTCAAAAATGAGATCCTGAATCTCTGCTCAGCTGCTCAGAGCCCAGGTGAGACACCTTGGCTGGAAGGAGATGCTTTGGAGGGTGCTCTGTGCTGCAGCTCTGACACTCCTGACCCTCGCCAGCTTGTCCCTGAGTCATGAAGCTCCACTCTGGGTGTGTGATCAGGGCCTTCTCTTGAGGTCTCCCTTCATGTCCTCCTTCCAAAGACATTTTTTTTTGTCAAATCACCTGTCCTGAGGCTCACTGCAATCTCATCTCCTTCCGAGATGGTGTTTACAAGGAGGTGGAGACATTCCTTGCACCACAAAGAGGGACAAGGTTTGAGGTTTCCTTCTCTACTCAGCTAAGTTCACATGTGGGGACCAGAATTCAGCCCACCTAGCAAGCAGCCTCTCCCTGCCCCATTAGTGGGGAATGCCTTGCAGCACAGAGCTGTGCCGTGCACTCAGACGTCCACCCATGCACAGAGGACAGATTGTCCAGCTGGAGCTGGCCAGGGCCACCCACTAGTCCTGTCCACACTGGTGCTGGGGCTCCCGGTGGCACCACCTACTCATGCTGCTGGCCCCAGCTCTAACAGGGGCAAATAAACAACAAAACTTTTTTCTTTTTTAACAATGAAATCAACACATCTGAATCTTCATGTTAAAAAAACATGTGGTACATAAGTGAGGGCTTTTTTATACGCCATAATTTTTTATTTTAAAATCCCTTTGTAAGATTCTGTAATAGCATCCTTAGCATACACATAACATTCTAGGGGTATTCTGGAGAAATAAAGAGATTTTTGTATCACTGGGCCTGCTCATAGGCTAACATGCATCTCCGAGTGCATGAAAGGGGTTGAATAAACTCAGAAAGGTTTCTTTGCTCTAGGAGGAAAACATGAAATCACCCAAGAGATTTCTAGCTGGCACATGTTCCAGTAGCAAGTGCTGCAGGGAGAAAAAAACTGTCTTAAAATAAATTTCACACATTATGTCAACAAATTAAAAGTTACCTTTAAAGCCAGAAAGTCTTTTTTTTTCTCTTCATCCTCAAAGATAAAGTCACCTTTCTCAGCATCGTATTCTGCCATAGTGGTGATTTCCATGTGGCCATCAATTTCTTTCCAAAGAAGGACATCATAACTGGTGCTCATATCGCCGTGGGAGTCAAATTTGACTTCCTTATCACCATCAATGACTACAACTCTTTTAAGTTCTTCAAGGAGCTGCACATAAGTTTAAGGAATGATAACATACACCAGTATCATGTCAGTGTGACAACCTGAGTAGTTTAACATATGTATGATAGTATAAAGTTAAAAAGAAATGCTTTTAGGACAAAGAAAAATATTAAAATTCGAATTCATTTTGTTTACAGAATTACATTATATAGACAATCATTCTGGCTGTAAAAATCTATCACTAAAACAAATCATAATTTCATAAAATCATAATTCTAGTATATTTTCCAGCCTTGATAAATTGGTGTGATATTCAGAGCAAATATTTTTGATGGCATAAACTAAGAACCTTTTGGCCCTCTAAGAATCTTTTGGCCCGCTCCTTCTTGTAAAGACCAGTAGTGAGCAGTACTCCTGTCACTTTACTGTCAGCAGAATCAATCTGGGCAACATTTGCTTCCAGAGTAAATTCTCCCAGCATGTCTGGGAGTAACTAGTACTGTTCCCAGCTGCAACTCAGCCTGAAATTTTGTATGGCAAGGTGAGACTCAGAACTGTTAAAAATCAATGAACAATATATATGCTTTGTCAAGGCAACTGTCCAGCTCCATATAGCAATCCATTCTGTTCAAGAGGGGAAAACTTCTGCCTCCCTCATCACAGGCAGACAGATGAAACAGGTCTGTGTGGATCTAGAAAAGGACAGGTTAAGGCACATTATATATCCCCACTCCCAGTGCATGGGGAGATCATTGAAGTACTCCCATTTAGCTGCCATGGCTCTTAATTGAAGAAAAAGCTTTATTATTTTGCAGGCCTAATGATTTTTTTGGCATCAATAGTTAACTGACAAGAAAAAAATTCAATGTTTGGTGAAAGGCTGAGTTCAACTGCATTTGAAAATCATGCTGTTACATGGGTGCATTTGTGATATTCATAGCATTTAATAAACATGCTGACGTGTATACTACCTCAATAGGCTTTGTCAAATGTATGTAACATATCTAGTAACACATACACATCTAGTGTATATAGTATGCCAACTTGTCATGTATAATGTAATTTTTTTGGGCATTTATACAGTTTATGAAGAATTGGTGTGTTTCTAACCAATTTGATTGGTGCATTTGATTTGGATGCTGCGTAGTTGTGTGTAATGAATAGGGTTTTTTCATTGTATATACTCAGATTACTAATTTAATTTTTTTGTTCTCCACTTTTTCAATTTGTCTAACAATATGAGAACACGAGAGCTTTTTGAATGCGTGTTGAGCTTCAGACAGAAGGGGTTAATATTTAGCAACCTCTTGGTGTAACTGGTTTTTGGCATTATGGTGTAAATGTAGCTCCATAAAGCTGCATTCCTGCTAAACAGACCTGAATTTGTCCCATTAGTGTTTACTAATTCATGTAATTAGTCTGATTGTTACAGGGTTATTGATTAGTTGTTTTTTATTTCAAATCCCATATCTTGGTTTGACCTGCCCTGACCTAGGATAAGAGGTCAGAGCAAATCAGAGTGCTTTCAGGGGTTGTTTGACTTTTAAGTGAATATTTGTTTAATCTTCTGAGTAAAAGTGTGTAAAAGTGAATTGTCCTGAGCAGGTTCTTGGGTAAAAGGTCAGGTCAGGTTTACTTGTCTGATTTTTCCTCCTCTTTTCCCACCCAGTAGTGTGATAACAAGTGCCTCACTCATCTTAAAGATTATGTCTTTATATATAAAAGTCAAGATCAGACACAGGTACAATGTATAGCCTTTTCAGTTTCAGGTAGAGGCTCATTATGGAGGACAATACTTGAATTAAGACAAAACAGATACAGTGGTGAGAGAAAGGAGAGAGGAAAATTGTAACTCTTTGGTGAATGCTCCTGTCCTGCAGTATCCCCATCACTCAAGAGCACTCACGATGTGCATCGCAGTGGTTTGCAGCAATGGGACCGACCACTATAGTCAAGTAGCTGATAAGGAGTATTTTGGTAAAAGGACCAAGCTTTTATCTCCAGGAATAGGGTGGCAAAAATGCGATGAAAGTTAGGCAGAATGAGACCTGTAAGAATGAGCATCATACCTCCCAGGGAGTGAAGGCAGACAGAGTGCAGTCTCTGTCCTTGCACAGCCCTTTAATGGCATGAGCTATAGCATAGACTGCAAGCATAGTACTATGGATAAATCCTGGTTCAACATTAGCATTCAAAAAATCATCTCTCCAGATCTGAGGCTTACTCCCATCATTTTCCAATAGATTATCCTGGGACTGGTTTGCAATGCACCTTTGAAAGTCATGATATTCCAGGTGTGCACAGACTGACAAAAGCATAATATATTCACGTAAAAACTTGTTGTTTTCAGTTGGCTTTTCATGAAGGTTTCTCAAAAACTCTTGGAATGAGGAGATGTCTCCATTTTTAAATCCAAATCCCACAACTGTTCCCAGCTGTCTGATATTGGGCATTGTACTGATCTTGACTGCAGCTGACCAGTTATCACTTGCAATCCAGATTTTATTAACGTTCCTCTCAATTGCCTTCTTGAATAGTTTGAGCACATGAAACTGTCTCATAAAGACAACAATAACGTTTACTCTTTTTTCTTTGACAATATTCTCAATTGCTTGATCAACTTTGGTGTGAAAGGTGCTGTCAGAGAGATAGGCTGGCAGCATCTCTTTAAAAGCTATGCAAACGTTGTTTGCCATGGCCTGGACGCCGAAGCTCTCCAGAGCGAACCGCCCATTGTCATCATCAGTGGCTATTACTCCAATCCAGTTCCACCCAGATTCACAGATCAAGCGAGTCATTGCTCTTGTCTGGTGAAAATCACTGGGGATAGTCCTGAAGAAAGAAGGAAACCTGATTTTGTCACTGAGGATTTCAGCTGATGATGCAGGACTGACCTAGGAAGAATGAACAATTCAGTTACAGATGTGTTCTCCAAAGGATGCCAAGAGTTCCAAAGCTGCCATGGTTGCTCTTTCTTCCCACCTGACCCAGACTCCCTCCTCCTGTGAATGAGCATCCACAAGCTGCAGCTAAAGGGGGCAGGTTCTCTCTCCCTGCTCTTAGGATGCAGACTTGTGCCCAGCACCAGTTAAACTTTTTCCCTTCCACATAATTCAGTGAAGACTGAGAGCAAAATCTTTCAAAATAGATATGACAGTAATGATGATATAAAGATTTTGTTTTACTCTGTAAAACAGATACCATCAATATGCTCTTCAAAACAATATTTAAAATATTAGCTATTTTTGAGTCTCTATTGAAATTGCTAGTACTCTTATATTTTGTAGTATTTTCCTATCACTGTGTGCTTTAGTATGGTTCAAACACACGCACACGCTCACACACACATATATTTTCTCCCCAATATATATTTAATTATTATATTTCAAAAGGATCATTAAATTGGTTGGAAGAACCTCACAGACAAACAAACAGTATCCAATAATACAAAATGTTATACTTTTTTCATACAAAAGATTTATTATCTTTATCTTGCAAATGTAGCTGGAAAAGCATAAAAAGAACATTGCTATTTAAATCTCTCCAGTTTTAATCCTTTCTTATTTTTTTGTTGGAACTTTATTTTGCCCTATATTTCTTGACAGTTCTTAAAAAGTGAATTTAAGGTTTCCAAAACAAGAGTCACCAGTCTAGAGGGGATACCAAAATCTTACTGAGTCAGAACACTGCAGATGCTATTGATAAGAAAAATCTGTTGATTCCCATTTTCCATCTATGCCCTACTGCAGATTTTTTTAGTCACTTGCCTTTTGATTATGTTCAAGTGTGGCACTTTGGTTTTCATACTTACTACAGTTCCTGTGGTGGCGTTGGAGGTCAGAATTACTTCCTACCATTGCAGAGGAGAAGATTCAGTTAGAAGTTATCTTTAGTTCAGATTTTATGTCTTTTCCACTTATTTGGTTAATTTATATCTATTGCCAAAACCAAAGTGCAAGACAGGATGGTATGGAAGTGGATCTGTTTCTTCCTTCTTAGTCCTGGCCTTGACCCCAATTCTTTCACAAAGGTGACAGCAGGAAGGTTAGCACAGCCTAAGCACAAATGTGGGACTGTACTAGTCCTAGAGAGGTCAGAAATAGAAAAGAATGTTTTGGGAAGGACTAGTGTGGATCTAAACTGCTGTACTCTTTCATTTCTACAATTGTTTGAAGAGTACTAGGAGAAAATCTTTGTTTTAGAGCAATCTTCCTCACTTCCCTGTCCATAATTTTTACTGATTCCAACATTTAATTTCTCTTGGGCTGGAGAGAATTCCTGAATTTCTGGACAGATCACATCTGATCTGGTCTCTATTTTTTTTTTTTTTTTTAGCTTGAGGTTGAGTATTGTCATATTCACCACCAGGCAAAGTGTTCATGTCAGCTGTAACTTTGCTGCCTGAACAAAGTCCTTGAGTGTCATCCAAGGTGCATTGGAGTAACCAGGACTGACAAGAGCCCAGCATGAGCCTGGAAAAACACTTGGATAAATGTGCCTTGGGTATATAAAATATCCCTTACTGTCTTTGTTTGTGTAAGTGAATCAAGGCCTCCACTTGGAGCTGAAGCCCACCTGTCCTGATGTCCTTAGGATAAACCAAATCCTGCCCTGTGGTAAATATGTGGCTTTTGCAAGTCCTGTGATTAGAGCCTTAATTCTTAGCATGGTAAATCTGATCCTCTGTCCAAAATAAAATAGTTGCCTCAAGCCTACCTGTGGGATTAATTGCAAAGCCAACAGCCTTGACACTGCCATGGACACCTCTGAGTAGCTGGCTCCAATGACTGCCTTGACTCTCGGGATGTAGTCTGAGTAGTTGCACTTGAACTCCACGGCATCCTCAGAAGAGTTGAATTTAGACAGAAATCTCAGGGCAGACGCCATGGCTTTTGTAACTTCTGCACACGTGTCGTAGATTTCGTAGCCCAGGGTAACTCCAGACAACAGCGTTGAGTTGTTGATGGTTTCAATAGCATGTATCATTGCAAGTGTCTGAAGAAAAACTTGAATTTCAAAGCTGTCACAGAAATATAGGTGGTGTTTTTTAGAAAAACTTTGCTGGAAGCAAGGGTGAAGCAAAGTCTGTTTTGAGCATATCCCTTAGAATTTTACAACTGCTGAAAAGAACTGATGGGTAGTAAGTTTTGTGTGCTTTTCTTGGGTTTATCGTACAAAAGATTAAAAGCCATTTTTTTCTCATTTAACAGGAGACTAAGTAAAATAAACACAGAGCCGAAAATATACTTGAATAAAAGTGTTTTTCTGAAAAAGAAAAATGTACTAAAAGTTTAATTTTCATGATACATGAAAATTTGCAAGTGATATCTTCAGGAAGCATCTGTCAAAGTCAGTGAAGATATTCTAGTTTACTACACCTGCCCACTAAGTTTTTTAAAAATGTATTTATTTTCACCAAAGGCATGAAGCAAAGAAAAGGAAGTACTAAATGTTTCAGAATAGAAGAAAATATTTCAGAGGTCAAGGTCTTTAGAGGTTGCATTGATGTTTCTGAAATATTCTTCAGACCTGATGAAGTTAGCCCAGATATTTCCCCTCATCTCCAGTGGATGCTATAACAGGTGATTAATCAAAACTGAGACAGCACAAAATGTCTACAATACAACAAACTCTCATCTCAGGCAAACTTCTCTAAAGATTACAAATCTTGTGATCTAAATTAAATTTCAGATGGACTGGAGATAATTTATGTCTCCATAGAAAAATAATGGAAGACAGACAGAATTATCAACTTACTCAACATTTTGACATAAATCCAGATGGATACCTGCATACCTAGCTAATTATTAGATTCAGATGTGGGATTAAGTTGTAAAATTGAAATAAAATTTGTGGATTTGCACCTATATTTCAATTTTTAAAAATACATGTTTGGAATTCCTGGTCTTAGGAAATATTTATTTTGTAATTAAAATAAAATTCTTCACCAGGTTTCCTTTTCATGTATTCCAGAAAAATGGACGTTTCAAGCACAGTAGGACTTGGAGCCAACAGAATAAATATTCTGGTGCAAAGAATGCATGCATGGCAAGGTGTTTATATGTAGGCTATCATATAACATAAAGCCACAATTATACTTCCAAGTGTAATAATGATGGTAATTTAAAAAATAACTACAGTGTCACCATCAAGGTACTATCATAGATTATAACTGAGCTGCCCAAGAGATGGGAGGCAGACTTTACTATGGGCTTGGGGAAAATGGAATAGTCTGCCTGTGTCCAGATCATGTAGGTTCAACTTCATAACAAATAATGAATAGATGCCCAGTTGAGTCCTTCAGATCTATGGCAAATTAGCAATATGAAATGTATACATGGAAATCAGATGATAACACAAACATCCAAGGCTATTTGATTATCTGTGAAGATTGAAATAGGATCAAATGCTCATTCCCTTCCTCAGTAAACTGCAGTATTTTTTATTGTAACTTGGCCATATTTTGTCATTCTCTGTTAATTTACATGAAATTTATCTGTAAATTTACGTGAAATTTATGTGATGTCCAAGGAATTTTTAAGTCTAAGCGAAAAAAGAACCAGAATTTGTTGACCATAACATAAGAGTTACATGCCCAGTGTCAGTGGTCTCTTCTTTGCTGTATGTTTAATTTCCAGTATTACTCACCCAGCACAATTCTGAATTACTGGCTTGATGGGATCTTCTTCTGGACGCAGCATTTCGCTGTGAACTGAGAACAAGCCTCCAATAACGATGTCCCCAGGAGAACTGGCACCCACAAAATCGTCAGCATTCTGGCAGGAGAAAGCGACGTCGGTTCCAACCATGAAGCAGGGGATCAAAAAGATAACAAATGCCATGTGTCCCAGCTTTGAGTCAATCAAGCTGCAGCAACAGCAAAGGCTCCTGTGTCATCTGTAAAGAGCAGCAAAGGACAAAGCCTGCACTCAAAAGCTGGTGATACCTCATAAGGTGCTTGTATTTGCCTCACTGGACAAGGCTTTTTAATTGAAGGTACTAAAGAAGTGCTGTCAAATAAAATGTGAGGGTGCGGTGGTGTGAGAGTGCAGAGGGAGGGAGAAAGATAAATGAGTTTAAAAGGAAATGCTGGACATTAAATCTCTCATGTTGTGTTCAAAGTTTCTGATACCTTATCTGAAACATGTGGCAAATATTTTGGTATAAATTTGGGCTTGTTTTGAATTCCTTCCAGCTGAGTGCAGTGTGCAAAGAAGTAATTATATAATATGGTAGTAGTGATACTGCTGTGACCATGTTTTAAGAGCCTGGTCTGAAAATGTTAAAATATATAAAAAAACACCCCTGTCACAGTGTGCTTTATGTCAGACTCTGCTTCAAAAATCCCAACCCCAAACTACCAAAAGACTGCTTTTCTCTCAAACCCGTGTATGTTTTTAAATCCTTGTATCAAAATCATTTGGATTAGTTAATCTTTTCCTTAATGGTTCTGAGGTACATATCTTAAGGACTTCAGTGGGTTTTGGATCAGGTTCCATATTAACAAACCAGGCCAAGTCTGCTGCTGGTTAATGTGATAAACACAGAACAGTGGGAATCAATAGCATTAGTCCCAGTTTTTGCTTTCCTCCCTGTCTGACTGAGGACACCAGGGCACGAACAGCAGCTCCTGTGCTGTGGGAGGGATGGGAAGTGGCTGTTCTCACCGACACTGCTCCCCTCAGATCTGCAGGAATCAGATGCTGTGCCAGAAGGAAACTCAGGGAAAAGAGAAGCAGAAACTGGACTCTCAGTTTTCATAAACCCCAATCTCAAACATCAAAGTGAACCTCCTTAGGACAGAAAAGTGACTTATGCTAATAAGTCAATTTGTGTGAGGGACACAAATCTGATCTCTGGTCTGATCTGATCTCTGCTTCTGACATTGGTTTATTTCCTGTTTTCTTTTAATGGCTTCTTCAGATTTTGCTTCTTTTGGCAGTATGCCAAAACACTCCCAAAAGAATGGGTTCAGTCATAGCATATATTGTCTGTGATTGTATAAAATCTAGGTTTACACAGAAAATTTCAATCAAGGTTTATTTACTGGTAAAGAAAATTAGAAATGGGTTATTTGTTATGCATTATTTCTGATAAGCATACTGTATAAATTATTCAAATTACTATATTTTTCTTGTTTTCTCAATAGTCTCTTTGTAGTAAAATATCCATTTACAACCAAGATACTTCTTGTAAATGCAAATGCAATAGACAAAATACTTGCCAGTGCAAATGTTAATCTCTAGTTAAGTTAACATTTGGTCTTTTCATTTTAATAAAACAGTGTGTATTTCTTTCATCTGCCTTCTTTCTTTCCATGTAGGATTCTCACTGCTGGGCCAGTGCAGATAGTAAAGAGCTGTCTGCTTTTTCTTTAATATATATGACCACATTTATATATGGGCAGATGTTGATACCAGTTCATTCTGCTTCTGCTCTGACTCACAAAAATTCCAGCTATTCCAAAGGTTTTCCTCTTGACTTATAACAGCATTAACTGTAGTCAGATGCTGGCCCTGAATTATGAGACATTCACCTGCAAATATTCATGTGCTTGCTACTTTCCAGCCATGTAATGCAGCCTAAAGCCTGGTTCCACATACTCTAGTATTTCCTTTACCTTGCATATAATTGTGTATATAAAACTTGTGTGTACTTAGATGTAAGTAAGGCATAAGACTGGAGCTAGCCATTTTCTTATGCAAGTCATAAGAAATATCAGTATAAAATGTAGCTTTTAAGGGCTTACCACTAAATATTATTATAAGGACTCAATGGAAACACAGTACTGACAATTTTAAACTTCAAATTTGTTACGGTTTATGATTAGAAGCAAAAAAGGAACTTTACTCTGGCCAGTCTCTAAAAGCATATTAATTTTTATAGAAGAGGATTTTACCTACAAATAGAAAATCCTTACTTGATCACTTTGGAAAGTGGAAGTTGACAGAATAAACATCACATATAATTGATGCATAATTTCATGTTATTTATAAAAACACCATAAAAAGAGGCGTGCTTTCAAGTCAACTTCACAGATTTTATGTCACAGTGTTATTTTCAAAAGAAAGAGGGTTTATTGGTTTTGTTTATTTTCAAGATCTATATCTCATAATTACTACTAGCAATGAGAGGTATGTAATAGTTTTACTTATATACCTCAGCCTAATCTAGTATTGCAGAATTGACTTGAATCATTTGCAAATATCCTTTCTTTGGCACTTGGGTGCAATCGAAATATTTGTACAGTACAAAGTGTTCCTTGTTTCAAATGTAGTGACATATCATGGACACAACACCAGACTTTCACAGTTGTCAGCACAGGAGTATTTCCTGTCAGGTAGATTGAAGCATAAGGGTTGGGGAAATTTGGTGAAGTACCATCATCTCTCAAAAGCTGCCTCTTATGGACTGTGCAAAGATGGAAAACAGGACCCAACAATCCCAAAGCTACTGTGAGAGCCATAGGTGAATTCTAAGAGGCCTTAGAGGATCGTGTGGCAGACAAAGATGTCCTGTCAGTGTCTCTGTGTACCCCAGAGTTATCTGCTTTTGTGCAGAAAGAAGTTTTGCAGCTCTCAGTTGCTTTGTCCAGCAAAGAGGGACTATACACTGTTACATGAAACAAAGACCAACATTTTGCCTGAACTTCTTTGTCCTAGCTGCTGTTTCTCATGGAGATGATAATGGCTTAGATTCCAACAGGAATTTCTTTTATCTGAACCCCATCCAGTCAGGTACTGTTAAAGGAGAAAGACATTTTTCATGACTTTCTGTTTTAAACTGGTTTTAATTGTGGTGTTTCCAAACATACATTAGATAGCAAAATCCTCAGCCAGACGTGCACTATAGCTAAGGGAAGAAAGAAAAAAATTGGATATTCTCACTGTTATTCATTTGAATAACATTTGAATTTCATTTGAGTAGGGTAGCCCCCCTCACTCAGCCACAACTTACACTGACCCAGCGGCAATTGTCCTTTTTGAAGAAGCCAGAAACATCCAAATAAAATCCCATCATTTGCATTAAAAAGATTAAATATTGGTTAGGATTGCCAGCTTTCTTGATCAAGAGAACCATAATGTTTAACACAGTGATTTTGATTTACTAAATTTCTTTTAAGGAAGTTCAAATAATGAGAGGAAAAAAAGAAGGAGGCATTTAATGATTTAATTTTGAGTGCATTAAAAAAATTCTCTAATTTATTGGGACCTATATAGATTAATATTAAATATGAAAATTAAAAATGGGAAGATAAATACTCATTATTCTGATTTGTGGTCTGTTATAAAAAACAAAGATAAAAATAAAAAAAATGCATGAAGTGAAATGGAATTTGGATGGAAGCCAAAATCTCACATTAATTCCTGAGAAACAAACAAACTCAATTTTCAAGTTCATTGAGTTTGTCCTCTAGAGGATGTCAGCTGAGCTGCATGGTGGGAAGGACAAATCCTGTTTTTCTTTATCAGATCACAATGTTGTAACGTGTCTCCTGATGTTCCTTGAAAGTTGAATTTCCCCTGATGCAAATGACCTTGTTGGAGTACTTCTGGTTGAAAACTGAGATGCTGGGGCATGGAAGTGCCTTCCACCACCTCCCTGGACCGTCAGGGACATCCTGGGCAGCCTCACAACAATTTCTTTTACAGAAAGTGTTTTAGTTATTAGTCCATGTTGTACACATTCAGTGCACCTTCTGCTGTTTATGCTAGGAAAAGGGTACAAGAAATTAAAACAGAGTTGTGAAAGGGCCTACATTTGAACTAATGCCTACATTTGTTTTTTTTAGTTCTGGTCAGATATGTTTGTTTCACTTAGCTTTTCTCTGATATTTTAATATACTTGGACTAAATTTCAAGTCAAACACAATTTTATTGTGAAAAAATCAAGAGGATTTGAATTTTCTGATGTTGACAGAATATATTTTTAGCCATTACAAAATTGAATTTACTTTTAAAGGATCTGGTTGTTCTTTTAAAATAATCCAGCAAACCTAATCCTATCCCATTCACCCAAGACAGTCAGCAACATAGGTTGGATGCAGGACAATTTTTCATAAAAGCCAGCATGGTAGGCATGACCCAACTTATTGAGATGACATTTTCAGAATTTTTCAGGTTTTATGTCTCTTCTTTGTTCCATCTCTCCCTCTTTTAATTGAAAAACAAGAGAGCAAAAATGTCATTCATCTGTTGACAATGAAAATATTTGATCCCAACCTGTAGTGAAAAGGTCACCCAGAGGGAAAGAAAACCTCTAACTTAGGAATTTGGGCTTTCTCCTGAGAGGCTGGAGGCCAAGGGTCCTTCTGCCAGTGACTGCTCTCAATCCTAGAGTTACATCTTTGCTACATAAAAGGAGGGGACTCACATCTTTCCTCTTCCAGTGTCCCATACTTACTAGAATGTCATTGAAAATTTGTTTGAGAAAGCCCTTCTTGCCAGAGCAGTAAGAACGTCCCTAAGAGACTCAGCAAATTCAGAAATGCCTGGGGTTGTATTGCCTAGTATATCTAGCATGTTTTGGAAATGCCTGTCAGTAGGAAAGTTGGGCTGGAGATCACATCACACAAAAGTGCCAATGGCAAGAAAGTATGAAGTGTGTGCCAAGCAACTCTCAGTATTATTAATAAGGAATAAAGTTCAAAATAAAATTAGGTTTATAGGAGTTTTAAAATGTAAATGGCTACACATTTTACACATCTCCAAGGGTATTGATTGTAGAGGATCTGAGAGTGTTGGTTTTGAATACAGGCTATCAAAGGGACAGGTAACCACATAAATCCAGATAGCCATCTTGGTGACCTTGTGTTTATTCTCATTAAATCACTTTGCAAAGA